AAAACTTGCTTGGATTATCTTACAGAACCGAGCCTTGAATCGGGAACCAAAGAACCACAACACTGCAAATGCAAAGAAGAAGCAGTAAAGAATTTGAGAAGAAGATTGGAGATTTATATCAACAAGATTGTAAACGAAGAGTGCTTGAAGGTAACTACTATGCCAGCCGAGTTCTTATGCAAATCGTCAATTTCGGATGGTCATTTTATGTTTTCTATACGAGGGATGATGTCTATATATAACTACCGCGAAGGAATCTCAGAGAGCATATGCACCTTTTGCTCGTAGATTCCATACTTCTCTAGAGACATGGAATGGAGTACATCATGTTGGTTACTTTTCGTTTTCAATATCTAATATGCAATTTTGATGTCCGTGTCGATTTTACGGTTGCGATTAGTGGGTTTGATTATATCATCTTATACGATAAAATGTTGGTGTGTTTAATTTGCATGTATAACTTCGTTTTTTGTTCCAATATGTAAGGGTTAATTTACCCAATAACCACAAGAAAAAAAAACACAGAATTTGAAGGGTTGTGATTTTGCCACCTATAGAATTTTTGGTTACTTTTTTAATTATGTAATTTTTTTTTTTTGGTTATTGGGTAAATAAACTCAATATGTAATGGGAAATTTAGAAGAATGGCCATGTTGAGTGAAAATAAAATATTTCTAAAACAAAAATATATAGTCAGCGATCTACTTGTGTGACATTTTAGTCTAACAAAACTATACAGAACAAGTAAATAGCTATATCTTTGTTTTAGCCAAGGTCACTGTTCAAGGCGGAAGCAATATATATAAACCGTGAGTTTCGTTGATGAGTCGTCTTCTGTTCAAATCCACAATTGAAATTCAAAAGAAAGAAGTGGGAATACTCTTATATGTTTTCAAACACCTTTTAATAAATCAAACAAGCAAACGAGTCTTTACGAAGCACAATACATAAAAAAGAGAAAGAACAAAAAACATTCAAGTCACGTAGGACTTGGAATATCAAATAAGGAAATAAAACCAAACTATAGGAAACTGAAAAGAGGGAAAAACTATACACAAACTCGCCAACACACTACACGGCTTTATTACATGTGAAAGCCCTAGTACATGTGGATCGGCTTTATTAAATTCACACAACACATATAAGCCCACATCAGAACATTCAGTTTTCATTGCGTAAATGTTATATAACCTTAGAGATAAAGATTTGGATCGGACAACCTTAGCACAGGCGTGGCAACAAGTGGGTTTTTCAGCTTCAACGTGATCCCAAACTTCTCCTCGATATCCACTCTCTTTCCTTGAGGAAGTTCCCAATCAAAAGAATGCAAAAGCGTAGCGATATTGTAAAGAACAACCCTCTCACCCATCGCCATTCCCACACATAATCTACGACCAGATCCAAAGGGGAAATAATTTAAGTCGCTTCCACTAAAGTCATAAGACTTATCAAGAAACCGGTCAGGATCGAACTCCAATGGATTCTCCCATACATTTGGATTCCTATGGATCGCCCACACGTTAATGAAGACCTTTGAATCTTGAGGGATGGTGAAACCGCTCACAACGGTGGTTTGGGATGGGCGGTGAGGAACAAGGAGTGGCGCAACCGTGTGAAGCCTTAAAGTTTCTTTCATAATGGCAAGTATGTATGGAAGTTTAGTTGTGTGAGATTCTTCCACTACTTTGTCTTTGCCTACAACTTCGTCAAGCTCTTGCTGCGCTCTCTTCATGATATCAGGTTTATTGAATAGCTCGGCCATCGCGAACTCGATGACATGTAACGATGTGTCTGTACCACCGAGCACCATGTCCTATACATAATCGAAACAATTATGAACATATGTTTAAATTTTATGACTTACGATTTG